AAAACAGTTTTTTAAATATTGCGCTAAAGGAATAGACATTTTCTCGTCACTTAGTAATGATATGAATTTATTTTCATTACTAAATTTGTCAAAATTTGGTATACGTTTATTAGCTACAATGTAAAGTTTTAATCTTATTTCATTGTAATGAGGACAATTTGTGACAAAATGTTGTTCATCTTCAACATGGTCATTGTCGCACATATTGCAGACTCTGTCTTTAAAATCCAATCCTGTATGCCGGCCTGTTTCAATTTTCAGACAGTGGTTGCCAAGTCTAAATTTTGTTAAGGATTTGCGAAGTTCACTGTTTTTCATAATTGTTAAGTAGTTTTCTTGTTCTATTTTGGTTTTAAAAAGTTTGTAGGTTCTTAGTTTATTTTTAGAATTTGATTTTTTCCTATTGTCATTATTTATTTCATTTTTCCACTCAGTTGTAAACTCTTCTTTTAATTTCTCATCAATTGTTTTTAATTTTGATAATGAGATAATATTTGTTTCATTTAAAAGATAAGAATGGTTAATATTTTTTAATATCAGATCAAGTTTTTTAAACCATTTACTTTTAATAATTTTATTGACATAGTATGCTTCTTGAAGTAGAGTATTTGTGGAATTTGCAATACGATTGACATATTTTATCATTTGTTTCTTAATAAAAGAGTCAAGAGGTAATTTTCCCAATTCACTATATATTGCCATGATTGGTGTATTTTTTGACCAGTAAACACATTTACTTTTAACCGTTAGTTACCATGCCCAATGTTTTATTATACCATTTGGAGTAGGTGATTAGACTGCTCACAGCCCCCTCTACCCGTGGACTTATGTAAACCGAAAACTGGCTTTCCTTTTTTTCTGTCAAATTTTCTGATGATATTACTATAATAATGTGCAGAATTCAAAACTTCTAAATGTTCTTAATTTACAACAACACAAAACTCCCCTTATGTTATTAGTGATCAACCCCCATGTCACGAGGCGTTTGGATCTCACCATAAGGAACTAATTATGTATTGTTAAAAAGACACAATTGTTATATGTTATACCATAGATCTTAGAAAAGGTGTAAGGTCTAGGGTTTTACGCGCAAGATGTAATTATGTATCTATTAATTTATTGTCATAATATAAATTGATAACAGCCCAGAGGTAGGTTTTATAGCCCAGTAGGTAGACGCATTTGAGTTTACACGAACAGAAAGTACGTCCTGTTATGTGACCTCGATGTCACCCTTGGAAAAACCGATCGAGTATCCTTGTGGTGAATGAACAGGCTGATTGACACAATTAGCTGTGTGACGTCATTTAAAATATGAGACAGTGTGTTTCATGGGTTGTCGCTGCTCGAGATCTTGTCAACAAAGAGGCTCTACGCTTTGCACGACCCTGAATGCTGTCGAACAGTACTAACATAGTCGAACCCGGCGTTTAACATCAACGTGTAACATCGCCCTGGCGTTGTGGAAGCGAAGGTAGAGCTCGACGCTTCAACTCTTAACTCGTTTGCGACTAGTATCTAAAATTCACCGAGCAACGACGCCGACTGATACTGTTCGACGCACGTCGGGAAAGGTTAGGTACCGAACACAAAATAATTAGTCCTGAGTTTTGAATTATTATACTGTTATACTTGAATTATTATACTAGTACGTGATTTCTAGAATTGTTATTTTCCTGACCAGTTTATTTATGTAATATTTTACAAGTGCATGTCAATGATATACGTGACGAGTAGGTAATGCCGCCCCCGGTCGTAGGATCGTTACCGACCTTGCTGAGGTGTCTACAGTGCGAAATTTCGCAACCCCACCTCTTACCAATTGAATAGTTGCGTTGTTGCATGGTGAGGGTCGGGTTTAGTGCTGAGAACCTTTGCAGGGGCGGGCGACACTGCAGGAAAGAATATATTTTGTGTACCTAATAAACTATGATTTCAAGTAATTCTTGTGTAGCGTCGTATGTGCAGATTGACCGGTGTGCATTATTGCTTCTTATTATACGTGCATATATTTATATTGAACTATACTAGTGCCCATCAGTCTAAATTATTCCGATATTACACGAATTGTGTAATTTTATATTGGTTAAGATCCCGCACGTGAGGTGGTAAAATATTGCACATTATGGTGTTAGGGTAATATTTGGCGTCACCTCACGACAATTAACGCAGAACTCCCTTTATGTAAGATAAAATAAAATTTTAAATAACATGTTAAAGGTAAAATAATGCGTTTGTTCAGTTTTACAGTGTTATTGCGCAACAGCTCACGTGTTTGGGGCGTGTATTATGCCATATTGTAAACCCACCATATTGCTGTGACTGAGACTTCAGATCATCGTTCGATACTGAACAGGAATATCCGCAACACTGACTGTTGATGAAGATGGAGAGTTCGCAAGTCGGACGAAATCTTGTTCACTGATTCATATTACAATCTGAACTCTGGTTATTTTGTGAACTGACAGGCAGGGTGTATACAAGTCTTGAACAGGGTCATCTAGTGTATTGTGAATAAACCTTACGTTACATACTGACTATCTATCTGCATCTCTGCATTGTGTACACCCTTGCCGCCTGGCACCTATATCCTACCAACTAGTGAAGCTAATCTACGACTGCCGAGTTATCCAACATAATATAAGCATACATGTACCGAAAAGGCACATTTCATCGTCTGTATCATTGATTTACTCATTTAATTTTCAACCAAAGTAGGGGTTGCAGCACTGGTTGGCGCTCATATAATAGCCACTCCAAGCAAAAATGGATTAAACAATATGAAGTAGACAGGACAAATGACGACATACATTAAATGTAGATAAAAGTATGCTATATACTTGTAAAAGAATGTTACACTGAAAGCCTTCACCAGCGATACCGAGGTCATTCCACTCTCGTACTGTTCTATTTGTAAAAGCTCATTTCAGTACATCTGTCTTACATGGTAACAGGTTTAGTTTGTACGAGTGACTATTTTTAGTTTTACTGTATATTTGAAGATCAAAAATGTGAGGGCAACTTTTCCATGAAACATTATATTATAAACATAGTTGTCGGGTTTCTGTTCTACGATCGTGTAAACTTAAATAATTAAATTGCTACCATTGATAAAAATAAATATTGCTATTACAATTACTATATTCGCTGTATATTTGTTAAAAACAATATCAAGTTCAAACTAATTTAGTGGATATGCATTGGTGTGGCGCGTTATCGAAAGCCGAAATCCATTAAAGTTGCATCTTGACTTTTGCCTTTGTCAAGTTAAGCAGACCATTTACGGATCGTAATTAATAAGTTTCACAAGACCTGTGTTCTAAAACCGTGCTGCTGATATGTTGAGGGCGCGTTTCTGTCGTTGAAATGATGAAGCCTACTCATAAATATAAAAACCCAGAATTTATTCATTTTGCAATAAATTGTACTCCAAGGCAATGTAAGGATATTGACCTGAAAAAGTTGGGGGTCACCAGCCTTTTTTTCGAGAAATTTATGGTTGTATTTTAGTGGAAAGTCGCCATTTTGACACTATTATAACACTTTTACCACAAGTTCCTATGGCAGAGATATTATACAATATCTCAAAATCTAGCCTGGTGACACGTTTCTCAAAAAACAAAACTGTAACACACAAAATAATGCTATTTCATTGTACCATGAGACATTAGCTTCATGATTGTACATAATAAACTAATGAACATAGTCATGCGATTTATAACCAATTTTGTCAAAAATTATGACGAGGCTTATCAGCAACATGGAGGTAAATTACCGTGATTTTATTTGCATATCAGCAAATGGTCCCCTAATATAACCGTCGTTCAACACGTTTTTTATTTAGAAAACCTGCATTTATCCTGCATATGACATTACTCTCGTGTAACTGC